TCACCGCGGTGATTCGGAGGCCAAAGACCATTCCGATCTCACGGACATCCGAAGGCACAGGGGCATTGATAGGTTTGCTGGTCAGGGGGCTCGCATTCATGACTTCTCGGCTGCCCAGAGTGACGAGACCAGGTCAACCCTGAACCGTGATTTCTGTCAGCGCGCTGCGTTCGGTCCTGATTGAGCAGAGTGGCCGCCGCCCGCTGCGATATTATACATATGTATACACACGTATACATAAATTATATATACACACATGTATATGTATATGTGTGTATACATAATATATATATAATATATATATATATATATATATATATATATATATATCGGAGGTTGGGGGGTGAGTCCGACGTGAAACGGGGACCCCCCCTACCGGGAAGTCGATTTCGGTTTCGGGTTCGCGTCGTGCGTGCCGTGCGCGCGCGCGTGCGGGCGAGGGGAAGTTGCGCGGGCGGGCGAGAGGAAACCCTCTTGTGGCTGGGCCGCGGCCGGACCAAATATTTCTCCTCCGGCGGCTGGTGGTCCGCGGTGTCCCGCCCGTGTCCCGCTGGTGTCCCGAAATGCTCCTGTGGCTGGGCCGCGGCCGGACCAAATGATTCTCCTCTGGCGGTTGGCTGCCTGCGGTGTCCCGACATTGTCCCGCCAGTGTCCCGCTGGTGTCGACTAGCGTTGAGGTGAGGTTCGCGCGATTGATAAGCGCACGCGGGGACAGCGCTTCACGACATGTCGAGTTCTCTTCGCCAACATCGCCACATCACATCACGCTCGCGTGCACAATCACACTACTCACTAGACTCCGCCCCACAGGCATTGTCAGAACAACAATCACCACTTTTGCCAACTGCTGCCCCCCAAACATCCTTATCACCCGCAGGGTGGTCGTATAAATATATCATATGTATATGTATAGGTATGTATATATGTATGTATGTATGTATGTATGTATGTATGTATGTATGTATGTATGTATGTATGTATGTATGTATGTATGTATGTATGTATGTATGTATGTGTGTGTGTATGTATGTATGTATGTATGTATGTATGTATATATATATATATATACAGAGTTCCTCTTCCTGTATTTTTGTAAACCCGGGCGGGGGGGGAAACCCGTCCCCCCCCCAAACCGGACTCCCGGGATCTGGGGCTTTGGGACCCTCCGGACGGGCCTCGAAACGGTTCCCGGGCCTCGCGGGGCGTTTTGCCAAGCCTTCCCAGCACACCCAGGGCGATCAGGGGGGTCATCGGAGACGTCCCAGGGACCCCCAAGACAACACAAGAGCGCTCCAAGAGTGACCGACGTGACCTCGAGATGGCCCAAGAGGCTTCCAGGACGGCCCCAAAGAGGCCTCCGAGAGCACTCCCAAGAAAGCCCCCAGAGGCACAAATAATTGATCTTCTGTAGGTTTTTGGTGAATTTTGGGGTTCTCCTCTTTTCGCGTTCCTGACGCTCCAAGACGGCGGTCATCTGGGCGTCCGAAGCCGCCTGGGAGGCTCCCAAATCGCCCCACAACCATCCGAAAGGGCTTCCAGGCAGTCCAAGAGAGCCCCAAAACCGCACAACACGGGTCCAAGATGGCCCTCAGAGAGCACCATGGCGGCCCAAGATGGCCCAAAGACACCTTCCGAAGCATTCCAAATCGTGACCCGGTCGTTCAGGGAGGCCGCGGTTGGAGGCAGGGTGGCCCGAGGAAGCCCCCAGAGGCCCCCAGAATACACCCAGGGCCCAGGAGGCCTCCAGAAGGCCTTAAGAAAGCTTGAAACAACTTTTGTGAGGCCCCCAGAGGCTCTCCAAGGAGGAGCCTCCGCAGAGAAGAGCTGAGGAGGATGGCGAAAATCAGGATAAAGAAGCATGTAGGAAGGATAACGAGTAACATTATTATAGCGGCGATGCCGGAAACGGCAACAAAGAATTATCGCTAAATTGTCGGCTTCGCCTTCCTGCTATCCCACCTGCATACCAAACTTCAAGGACCACGGTGCATGGCGCGAAGTGCCACTGCAGTCTTGTATATATATATATATATGTGAGAGAGAGAGAGAGAGAGTCAGAGAGAGAGAGAGAAAGAGAGAGAGAGAAAGAAAGAGAGAGCGAGAGAGGGAGCGTGATCCACCGCCGCTTTGCTGTGGAAAATCCCCCCCCCCTCTTCCTCTGGAGCCTGGGCCCCTCCCCCACTCCGAAAATCCCCCACCCACCCCTGCTCGAACCACTCCCCCCCCCCTTCCCCCCTCCCCCCGCAAAGCTCCCCCCTTTGCGGAAAACCGGGGGGGGGGGTCACAACTGGTTCGAACCCCCCCACCCTCGAGAAAAACCGGGGGGGATTCACTACCGGTTCGAACACCCCCCGCCATCGGAAAATTGGGGGGGGTCACTACTGGTTCGAGCCCCAGCCAACTCGCCGCAGACACACGACTGCCGGGTCCCCACCACTATTGTCACCACTGCCCTCACCACTGTCCCCACCACCACGGTCCCCACCACTGTCCCACTGTCCCCACTGTCCCCACCACTGTCCCAGCTGTCCCAACGACTGTCCCCACTGTTCCCACCGGTGTCCCCACCACAGTCGCGCTGCCCCCACTTCCCCCGCAACTGTCCCCACCACTGTCCCGCTTTCGCCACTGTTCCCACCACTGTCCCCACCACTGTCCAACTGTCCCCACTGTCCGCACCGGTGTCCCACTGTCCCTTCACCGCTGTCCCCATCACCACCGTCCCCACCACTTTCGCAGTGTCCCCACAGTCCCCACCACTGTCCCACTGTTCCCACAGTCCCCACTGTCCCCACCGCTGTCCCCACAGTCCCCACCACGGTCTCACTGTCCCTCTGTCCCCACTGTCCCCACCACCGTCCTCACCGCCGCCCTCACTATTGTCCCCACCACCACGGTCCCCACCACTGTCCCCACCACTGTCCCCGCTGTCCCCACCACTGTCCCAATGTCCCCTCGCCACTGTCCCCACTCCCCACCAGTGTCCCACTGTCCCCACTGCCCCACCATTGTCCCACTGTTCTCACTGTTCCCACGACTGTCCTCATTGTCCCCGCCAATGCCCCAACCACTGTCGCACTGTCCCTACTGTCCCCACCACGGCTTGTCCCCACCACTGTCCCACTGTTCCCACCACTGTCCCCACCACTGTCCCACTGTCCCCACTGTCCCCACTGTCCCCACCGCTGTCCCACTGTGCTGTCCCACTGCCCCCACTGTCCCCACCACTGTCCCACCACCATCCCCACCACCGTCCCAACATGTCCCAACCACTGTCTCCACCACAGTCACCCATCCGGAGTGGGGGAGGAGGGGGAGTCGTTTGCCGGCGGCGAGGGGGGGGGTCCCAGGGGTGGAGGGGGGTTCGAACCGGCAGTGACCCCCTTCCTTTTTTTCATGATGGACCGGGGGGGGGCACTGGAACCCCCAGTGACCCCCCCCCGGGTTTTCGAGGGGAGGGGGGACGCATTTGAACCTTCCAGTGGCCCCCCAGTTTTCTGCCAGCAGCGGCAGAACACGCTCTTTCATAGGATGATATATATATATATATATATATATATACACGCATGTTGAAACATGCGTGTATATGAATATATAAAGAAATCAACAAGGAAGTGTAAGAACTCAACAAGGGAAGTGTGGGTCGGCGAGGTTCTGAATGTGCCCCCAATGCGGCCCACACCCCGTATCGGAACGGCGATGGTTGGCGGTGCTGCGTCTGCCTACGGAATGTCAGTACCAGGATTCGGTTTGACTGTCACAGCCTGAATCCTTCCATATTGGGGGTCCTCACGAACCAGGCCGCCCGGGGCACATATTGCATTATGCTGGGCTCTTCCCCGCGACTGTCCTGTGGTCTTTTGTGCTGCACTTGGGAAATTCTCAACCACCAAGGCGCTCAGGTTGGCCGAAAGGTGCGTGCACATCGAGCGTTGCAAGGAGTTGCGCGTCCTCCTCCGCGGCCGTCTCCCAGGGACAGGTCAGTCCCTCAGGCAACCCATCGCCTTCGACTGCCCCCTGCCCAGTGAGTGCGTCGAAGGCGCGGGTCGGGATAGGCGGGCCGACATGAGGAGGAGGAGGAACATGAGGAGGAAGAGGGGGAGGAGGAGGACGAGGAGGAGGAAGAGGAGGAGGAGGAGGAGCGCCCCCTTAACTTGTTGGGTATTGCTTATACACCTTTGGACTTCGGACTGCTCTGGTTTTGCTGGGTTTCCCAGAGGGGACGGAGGCGAAGAAGGAGGAAGGGAAGCAGGAGGAGCAGGAGGAGGAGGAGGAGGAGGAGGAGGAGGAGGAGGGAGGAGGGAGGGGGAGTTGACAGGAGTATGAGCAGCAGGAGGAGGAGGAGGACGCAACTTTCCTTGAATCCTCCGCAACAGCAAGATACTAGGAGGCCTCGAGGACAGAAAGGAGTGCTAAGCACGCGGGACGCCACCTCTTAGGGGGAGGGATCCCCGTCCGAGGATGACAGCAATCGAAGATCTCTGAAAGTTGTAGCCCGACGTCGGCTAGTCTCCCAGGTGACGGGCCCATTGCACTGGACTTGCGAGTGGATGTTGATCCACCGCGTTTGAGGCACTAAACAAAGGGCCCCTCGAAGGCCATGCGGTGCTCCCGAATGAATTCAAACCTAGCTTGGGCAACTCCAGGCGGAGGCTCCCCTGTACTGCTACCAATACCGGGCCCACTGGGAGCCCCGCCCAACCGCGCGGGCCCTCCAGTTTCGCTGGCATCCGCAGGCCCCTGCCCACAGGACACAGTGGGCCTCCTAGGGACCTGCACGGGGGCTTCGGCCCCAGGCTGACCAGCACAGGCGATCGAATGCTTGTGCCGCCCTCCCTTGGACCAGGAGGAGGAGGAGGAGGAGGAGGAGGAGGAGGAGGAGGAGGGAGGAATGAATGGATGGAAGGATGGACGGAGGGAGGCGGGGAAGAGAAGGAGGAGGAGGAGGCCCCACCTGTGGGGCGTGGGGCAAGCCTCGCGCGGCTGTGCTCCGCCCCGAG